TCATGTATGAAAATGGTTTTTATTTTTTTATGCGAAATCGGTGCGTCGTACCAAAACAAAGTCAAAAGATCAAATTTGTTCCAAATTTAATGTAGATTTTAAGAAGGATTTTTATTTTAGGAAAAACCAGTGGCGTACCATTTTTTTCTTCAATAATATTTAGTTTAAATACCGTAGGGACGCCACTGATGAAAATAAAAAAAAAGTTAATAGCATCAAAAAATGTGATTTTATGGTAAAACAACGTGTATCAAATTTAATGATTTTCGTCCAACCGGGCCCTAAGATATTAAAAAAAAAATTCTTTTTAGGGGCGATATTCAGGGGGCTGTAAATCCGAAAAGGGGGGCCACTCGCCAAAAATAAAAAATACGGGTCACCTATTTTTCAAGAATCTCTAACCAAATTTTGTTGCATTAATTTCCGGACACCCTGTATAACTAACATAAAATGATTTTTTTGGATCATTGTATCAACGGATCCCAGATGCATCAAAATCCAGCCTAAAGGCGGATTTTCATGCGTCAGATAGATAACGATGACACGATATTAATTTTATTGGTTGAATTTAGAGATGACTTCGTAACTGTCATCTTAATGACAGACGCAACGAACTGTCACTCTCAGCGATCCTCACTAGACTATATTATAGTCAGTTCAATGTAAGGATAATTATAATATGTATAATAATTATAGGAAAAACAATCAAGTTTAATTCAAAACTTGATTGTTTTTCTCATAACTATACAGGGATATGTCAACTTGCGTTAATAATGCTTATCTGAATTATTATTTGTTTCTTTCAGGTTATGAAGGAGACTCTTGCGAGCTAGACATAGACGAATGCGTAGTAAACAATTTTGCTTGTGGCAAAGCAGGAACCTGTGAAAACCTACCTGGAACATACAGGTTAGTTTAAATCGGATTATTTATTTATTTCTTAATATTAAATTTGTTTTCTTCAGGTGTACATGTGGAAATAGTGGAAAATGCGGATACCATTGTGCCCTAGACGACCCATGCGAACACGAAAAACCGTGTGTTCATGGTAGTTGTATCTCTCAGTGCACGGACAAACCTGACTATTTGTGCGTTTGCGAAGACAATTGGACAGGAAAGAACTGCAGCGATCTAAAGGTCAGACTTATTCTAAGGGCTGGCAAAGGTTAGTTTTGGGTCGAGTTTTCCATACGTAGTAAGAAGAGTGCAATGCGTTTATAATGTACTGAACAAAGAGAGAACAGTAAAAACGTTGCCAAACGTATAAAATAAATCGAGAAACTGTACACATTGCTAAGATACGTGAAAGGGGATATAGCAGCTTTTTTAAGTCTTTTAAAAATAAGCGGTTTGCGATCGTGATTTTACTTTACTTGATAGAGAAAGGCGTACCGGAAAAATGTGGCAACGCCGCAACAGCACACCGTCTCATTTCTCTCACTTCGACATAATAAGATTTCTATGCGATTTACTTCCACACATACGTAAATACCGACCCAAAAGTAAGAGTTGCCAGCAGGGTATAGCTCTTAATAAACAGATTTTTAAACTATTTTATATTTTTTAGGTTGCTTTAAGCCAAGCAGATAGCGGAATTAACATACTGTATATCATCGTTCCAATTGTTCTTATTCTGCTTACTGCATTTTTGATAGGAATGGCGGTATTGGTGAACGTAGCCCGCAGTAAAAGAGCTACAAGAGGCACTTACAGTCCTTCTGCCCAAGAATTTTGCAATCCAAGGGTAGAATTAGATCATGTTCTGAAACCGCCTCCTGAGGAACGATTAATTTGATTAAAATGATTCCCTTTTTGGACTAATCGAAAAAATAAAATAACTTGATGGCCTAGTTCCTTATTTTTTACCAGTACTGTACTTTATAATTTTTGAGAATGACGGCAAAAAAATGATTATAAATATTTTACCTCCTCGAATGAAACCGTCTCTAATATTGCATACCTTGATATTATAACTTTTAACCTTTTTTTGTCATATTAATTTATTTTTCCTCACTTTTTACTTAATTTATTGTATTTTTTTATACAACGTAAATTTTCTTTTTCCCATACTAATTTTCTGACTGATATTATTTAATAGGTTTTAGAATATTTTTGTCTATAGTATTTTAAGTAGGGTAAATGTACTTAATTATATTAACTTATAGTCTTATGATATTCCCGTCCACGTAATGAGATATTTTAAATATAATGTTAATGTAAATTTTATGATGTGTGTGCTCAGTAGTTCAAATGTCCCCTTTGAACGTTGAACATTATTCTATTGTGATAAGAAAATAATGTAGATTATTGAAACAATTTCTAATGGCCTTTTTAACTAAATAACGATGAGGTTCTTCCAATGTAAAGAAGAATGTTATGTAATAAGGAAAGTACTTAACTTTTTAGGACCAAAGGAAAAATGTAAATAGAGATAATTTATACATTTGCAATTTTTACCAATGTTTTAACTTGTGGTTTGTCAGAGAAATAAAGAAAATTACTTTTTAATAAATGATTTTTTTTGTTTATACCTTTTAAATTGTTTTTATATTATTACAAGGACTTTTTATCCCCAAAAAAAGCACTTGGTTTATCCCAAAATATTGAACGTTTTTCTCGTTTTGGAGCCGAGTCTACACTGTCAGTTTTACCTTATACATCTTGCCTGTTCAGTCAAAACGGATCAAAACATTGCGTGTAAACGAAAATACGGACGTTTTCCTGAACTGAACTAAAACGGAAGAGAGTCCAAAGAACCCACGGGATGTTCAATTCTATAACAAAACTGTAATTTGAATTTAGATAGAAACTATCTAAAACTGGAAATAGCCATCTTAACCGATAGTCAAGCAGCACTAAAAGCTGAGTTGATCGCTTCGTAACCATCAATTCGAAGTTAGTCAAAGAATGCCTAGAGAAGCTGAACAAATTAGGCCAAGAAAATAAAGTCCTCCTACTCTGGGTGCCCGCACACCAAGAGATAGAAGGCAATGAAAAAAGCAAACGATCTATTTAGAAAAGGAGCGACACTCCACTAAATGGACCAGACTCGTTCTGCTTTCCAAGCGGAAACCAACTTAAAGCGGAACTGAGGAGCCTGAAGGACTCCATCCAGGAGCCTGAAGGACTCCATCCGTAACCTGGAATGGGAATCCTCTAATGGTCTGGGACACCCGAAAAAGTTCCTCAGAACTTACAACTGAGAAAAATAAAAGATTTCCTTTGATTTATGTATAAAACAATCTTCGGATTGTCACGGGGTTTCTAACAGGATACTGTCTCCTCAACGAACACCTCAGTAGATTGAAGCTGAAAAACAACGGCAAATGCAGATTCTGTGGGGAAAATGGGGAAACACCAGAACACCTTATCGCCGAGACGACAACCGTTCATGCCATAAGCTTTGCTACGGCTGATGTCACAGACGGAGAGCTGGCCTCTGTGGAACCGTCTCAGATACTGGCTTTTATCAAAGCCCTGAGACTGTATGATGAGTTATAACCCGTTATAACTTAAGAAAGGGGAACACACAATAGATCAGTCAGGTCGCGGTGATTAACCCCTACCTAAACATTCTTCATTCTACTGTTAATTTGCCTACACTAAAAAATACAAGTATAGTTTAATTTTACAAAATTGTTGTGAGGTAAAGTCATACAAGATTTCGACAGACATCCAAAATGATAGAAAATACACTCGTAAATTAAAATGCACAGAACTGTCATGTATCCTTTCGTTGGACAGACTATATTTAATGATTATTCCCAAACATATAGCAAAGCTGATGTGAAAAAAACATATTTTAATTATAGTAAGAGTTATAGCGTATGCTCGAAAAAAAAAAAAAACGGCGTCCTGTTGGCTTAGAAATAAGGATCGATGATATTCCTATATAATTTTACATAATATAAAATAACAGCGAGTTTCATTTCATAGCCACGGCTGACGCCATTTTTTCTCGTTCATATTGTCTTTCTCTAATTTCTTTTTATTTTATTCATTAAAATTGTTATAATACTATGGTCTTTTTTAAAGCTACAGGAAAATCTTTATAGTTCGATCTACACGATTTTGGTACACGTCATAATTTCCTTTTAAATTTTAAAGAAATAAACGAGCAAGCGGTAATGATGGGTTTAAACGCAAGGTGGGCAAACTAAAATTTTGCATCTGTTATATAGTTCCTATAATAATTTCAATTGCAAATTTTCCAATAAGACCTATCGTAATTAGTCCAGGAAATAAGCAAGCCAGTTAACAAGATATGTAAAATATTCATAAATCGAATTATGAAATTACAGCTCTAGCATTTAACCAAAATCCAACATACTTCCATATCTGATATACAGGGTGTTTCAAAAAACAAGTGCCATGATTTATTTTTCATATTAACATGATTTTGCTTTGTTTCGTACCTACAGGGGCTTAAAGTCTTCATCTTTTTTCGATTTATTATAATTTTCTTCGAAGTGTTTTTAGAGATTCGAATGAAATTTTGAGAATATAAGTTACTATAAGTGCGCCCTATTTTAATGCTAAAAAAGTGTCGACATATTCACCAGGGACGTACAGGGACATCATTTTAAGTGTCTCACTCAATTTATAATTTTCCTGTTTTGTATTTAAAGATAGTAGAAAGATTTTCTAATGTAATTTTCCGCGAGGATGCCGATTCTCTCTTGTCAGATACGACGCCATCTTGATTTTTTTTTAATGGAAACCCTTACATATTTTAGCATGGTCCGGTAGACATATTTTAGCTAATTTCAAAAATATATAGTTTAGTATACTTTGCAGTTACCGTTTTCGATATACAGTGGATTTAAAATTGAATTGTTCCAGAATCATTTTTAAGTGTCTCACCCAATTTAAAATTTTCGAATTTTCGAATTTTCGAATTTTCGAATTTTAAATTTTAAAATTGTACAATCAATTACGACGCGTAATTTTTTTTTATTTATATATACTTCGATAGAGACGCAACGTCCTCTTCAATATGACCTTTAAATACCGGGTGCGTCTCAAAAGTAGCTCATCTCTATAACTTTTTTATTTTTTCAGATAAAAAAAACGAAATTTGGTATATTAGTATATGACATAAATAATTAGGATTGATTAACGTATTCAATTGTTTTCGGTCACTTCCCGGAAATGATTACAACTTTTGATTTTTAAATGGCACCCTCGGCATTTTTTTACTTTATAAAAATACCACCCTGAATAGAATGGCATATCATATGTCAACTTTTGACATTTTCGCATATAGTTTATTTGAAATTGTAACCTGTGGTTCATAACGACAATTTGACTCGAAATACCAAGTGTGTGGTATCAAATTATATTCGTAAAAAATGCTTTTCCCAAATAGGCTAATGAGCCACCCTCGTTCCATTTCAAAAAATTGAGATAGGGCTATCTGGCCAGGAGAAGACACTAAAAACATTAGACGATCAAATCTATTTCTCCAAGGCTTCTTGATTAAGAATTAGTATTTTTTACACAGCCACTCTAGATTGAAATTTAAAATACGATTTTTTATTAAGCGAGAATGTCATAAAGTTGACATATGATATGTCATTCTATTCAGAATGTCATTTTCAATCGAACAAAGTAAAAAAATACAGAGGGTGCCATTTAAAAACCAAAAGTTGTAGACATTTCCGGTGAAACCGGAATTGACCGAAAACAATTAAATATGTCAATCAATCATAATTTATGTTATATACTAACATACCAAATCTCGTTTTTTTATCTGAAAAAATAACAGGGGTGAGCCACTTTTGAGACACACCCGGTATACAGTATCAGAGAGGACAGCATCATGGATAATTCATAGTTTATAAGAGGCAAGTTAACGACTGCAGTAAATGATTAATGAATCAAATTAT